TAAAAGATACAGATTAAACACATTTTTAAAGGTACAGATCACACTTTGAAGAAGTCTGATTCCTGTGATGGTGCTTCTATAGGGTCTCTCTCTCTCTCTCTCTCTCTCTCTCTCTCTCTCTCTCTCTCTCTCTCTCTCTCTTTTCTTTTTTGGGCCGGTGTCTGGCTATGCAGTTCGGGCTGGCCTTGTGCTCACTTTTGTAGCTACCAGGCTGATCTCAAACTCATAGTGATCCTCTTGTTCAACCTCCCAGAGTGCTGACATTATTGGTTTGTGCCACTATGCCTGGTTCTGGGTCCAGCATGGCGTGCTCGGGGTTCAAGGGCTGGCACTGCATGTGGCTCTGTGGATGGAGTTGGGACCTTGTGCTTGCCAGGTAGGCGCTTATACGTGTGAGCTGTCTCCCCAGCGCTCTCTCTTGCTCCCTTGCTTTTGGGGATGTTTTCATATAACTTTGGGAAGGTGCAGGGCCTCACTAAATAGTTTAGCTGATCTTGCACTCACTATGAGCCCTAAATGGCCTTCGATTTATGATGGTTCTCCTGCCTCAGCCTCCTGAAGACTGAGAGAAATTTTTGGGGGGACAGGGTTTCACTGTGTAGTTCAGGTTAGCCCTGAACTCTCTGGCAACCCTCTTGCCTTCCCCGTGCTGGGATTACAGGTGTGGGCCATCCTACCTGGCTGAGAAATAGTTCTTTTAAGGCCCGTCTAAAGAGCCCTTTCTGGGTTTAAAGTCTCCAGCAACTAGAAAGGGGTCTTACTTCTCCTGAGATGTAAATGAAACCCTGGAAGTCACCCACATTGGCCCAGTTAAAACTTGTTGATTCTCCTGGGACTCCCTTGTCTACTGAAAGGGGAGGCCTGGGGATTGTGCCAATCCGGGACAGCTGGGGTCAGGGTCTGCTCTCACATACCTTCTAGAAAGGGCCCCTCCTGTTCCTGGATACACAGCAGTGGTTTCTAAAGCCCTGAATCATGGAGGCCTCCTCTTGGGGGCTGCTCTCTACTTACCTCCTTTGCCTCTCTGTCCAGGATGAGCAGACGCCTGTGCTCGGCCCTTCCAATCCCACAGAGGCCTACAGCCTGCAGAAAGCGTGGCCTCGGAGCTGAGCCGAAGTCTTCGTGTGTGCATCCCCATCCTGCCCCACCCTAAACCACTCACGGCCAGCGCCAGCCTCTGGAGCGGGAGGCAGACGCCCACCGGAGTTCAGGGCCCCGCCCACCTCATTGGCTGTGTCCCAGTGGAGCATTTCAGGACCCTCCGCAGGCCTCTGTCTCTGCTTCTATAAATGTAGGACTAAATGAGATGATGTACTAGCCGTAGTCCCCTCCGAGCCATAAGGGCTATGTTCCAAGACTCTTAGTGGCTGAGTATGTGTTCATGTATACGTGCGAATCCATATACATACACACTCTGTTTCTCTCTGTATTCCATATTCCTATGGGTTCAATCTAAAATGCCACCCCACCCCCAGTTTCATGTTTGGAGATACAGCCTGGCCCCCAGGGATGGGTCACTGGGGCCCTCACCTAGAAGTGTCTATTCCCGTCCCCAGCTCCTTGCTCTGTCTGCTTCCTGGCTGCCAGGGTGAGCAGCTGTTCCTTGCTAGGGCCCTTGCGTCATTCCCTTCGGCCCTGGAGCCAGCTGGCCTTGGACTGCACCTCCTGGAAACCGTGAGCCGAATAAACCTCTCCTCCTGCAGGTTGCGCACAGTGGGTATTTTGTGCTAGTGACGGGAAAGTGACTAACAGATGTAGCCATAATAAAATTTAAAATTTAAAATTTTTAAAATTAGGTACAGTAAAAGATTCACAATACTGGGTCGGCAAGATAGCTCAGTGGGCTAAAGTGCCTGTTTAGGCAAACTTAGGGAAACACAGGGACCTGGTACATCCCCCGCACCACATGCCATGCCAGCCCCACCCCCAGGACATGCCGAGCTGGCCACAGAGTCCGGGCAGAGCAGTGCACACCTATAATCCCAGCGCTGGGGAGGCTGAAAATAGGATCCCTATGAGTCCGAACTGCATAGTGAGACCCACAACAACCAAATGCATTAAAAAAGTAAAACTAGGGGCCGGGGAGATGGCTCAGTGGAATAAGTGCTTCCCTGGCAAGCGCAAGGGCCTGAGTTCAATCCCTGGTTCCACAAAAAAAAAAAAAAAAAGTAAAACTAAAAAAGATTCACAATACTACTAATATAAGAATAACTGTAATGTTCTATTATAAAAATTATATGAATGTGGTCTCTCAAAATATTGTACTGTAATTCTTGGTAATCTTAGCATGTGATTTTTTTTTTTCTTTTTAAATTTAGAACTTTTACATTTTCACTCCAAGGAAGCACCTGATAGCTTCTCTCTGGTCTATCAAAATACAGGCCTTGCTCTCTTCTGGCTTTAGAGGTGTCATTAAGTAAACCCAGGGCTCCCTTGCCGGGGCACTGTGGCTCCATGGTGCGGATGTGGTGTCATCAAGCGGTGGCCGCTGTAGACAGCAAGGACACATCCAACACAGGCCAGTCTCCGTTTGGGGCGTAGTGGAACGGCCAGCAAGGGGTCTCCTCATGCTTCTCACAATGGTGTACAGTTTAAAGCTTAGGATATTTACTGCTGTAATTTCCCACTTAATATTTTTGGACCTCATTTGGTCCTGGGCAGGGAGAAGACGGAAGGAACTACTGTATAGTTTCAGCACCAGGCTGGCAGAGGAAGTCCTCTGGTGATGCAAGCTGCTCATATTCCTTTTTTAAAATTTTTTTTGGCGGAACCGGGGATTGAACTCAGACACTTGGGCTTGCCAGGCAAGCACTTATTTAACTGAGCCATCTCTCCAGCTCCTCATATTCCTTTTTAAAACTTTTTTTTT